TACTGATTAACTATATGAAATGATATAAATATATACATTTCTGCCCCCATATCTTGAATTTTGTTATTCTAAATGCATTTTAGTAAACTGAATCATGCAGTGAAAGAACGTGCACTGGTCTAAACTTACTAGACGTCCTATTGCCTTAGCTAAACTTTAGCTAACTTACATGGTAGCTCTCATGAGTCATGGATGTTAGCAAGACAAATTAACTATAATTGCCTTTTGTCTTTTGGATAATTAGCTGTAAATTCAAGGCACAGGTAGCTTAGTCTTTTGTTCATCACCACTCACCTCCACACCAAGACAAATATACCTGGAAAGGGAGGAAGGGCTTCACTTCTGCGGCTCTCTGGCTGTCTGTGATGCGCATTTGTGCCGATCAATGTGTGCTACACTGCTGTGCTGCACGGAGACGCGGAGGGGAGAAAGTCTCAACATTTCCCGACCCGACCTGATATTTTGATTTTTTATTTGTTTGACGGGGAAAGCTGTGCGCAAACAGAAACACACACACACGCACACATATATTCATTTATAAAAAAATAAAATAAAAAAAAAACACTCCCCAGAAAAAAGGCCACTTTCTCTCGAGGAAGAAAAAGGGCAGGTGCTCAAGCCCCCTTTGATGTCTATGTGTGCACGTGCCTGCTAACAGTGGATTGGTAGAACATAAGTACAGTCAGTATTTATCACTTTATTACAGATTCATATATCACATAAATATCAGATTGCAAAAAAGGTTGTCAAATGTATAATTTGCATGTTTCCTACACCCAGTGTAAGTACATTTTTACCAAATTTACCAAGGATGCATTCAACTTTTAAGAAGAATAGCATTAATGTTAATAAATATATAAAAAAAAAATCAAATAAAATTTAAAAAGTCTAAAATCAAAACTCAGCCAACAATGATAGTTGGATATTTATATGTGACCATATAAAGCATGTTTTTAGGTTAACTGTCAACACATTTTCACAATGTATTCTTTTAAATAATGCTATGTATGGTTGCACTGAAACAAATAAAGCAGACAGAACATTTTAATTGTGCATGACTTTCAGTCTGAGGGGGTCTACTGAGAGGGGAATTAACCTTCTGTATCTTTCTAATTAAATTGTTTGCCATGATCAGACGAGAGCAACCCTTATCTGCATGTTGTGCTAAAATGTTATCCTGTCAAATGCAAACAGTAAAAGTGATGACAGGCAGCCTTGAATGGAGGTTCACAATGCTGACTGAAGCATGAAAGAGAAAACATTTCCATCATAAAATTTTTTTTGTGGAACATTTTTTTCCCCTAGTGGTTGATAAGGTGTTCTTAATGGTTGTTAGAGTTTTGCTAATGTGTTCGGGTTGCTTACTAATGCAAGTCAAAAGAGCCCACCCCCAAGTATCTATGATATTCTGGTCTCTAGATATGGCATGGGTTCCTTCTTCAAGTCTTGAGGATTTTTCACCCATTTAATCATCCACCAGTTGAATAGTCAAAACACTAAAAACGAAATAGAACACTTCTTCTTAACAAGCCATGTGATTTGAAGTATCATGTAATTGTGTAACACAAACATTGTGAGACCAATTACATGCCGACATTTAATACCTAGCATTAGAGGTTTATTCAAAAATGAAGGAGATCTATAATACATTGAGAAAGCTATCTTTTAGCATTCCCATTGACCTCAAGGGCATCTGATCAAGCGACTAAAGGAACAACAATTCAAGGGCTCTATTCAGTTTTCTGCACTCTCCTTTTTGCTGCGTCTGGTGTTGAATTATGCACACACACGCTATGAATATCAAGCTGTGTGCACTAACAACCAAAAGCCTGGCTTTGATTATAACATCCTTGTGTCAAAGGTAAAATACATGGTTG